ATTGAAGGACGCCAATTTACTCAAAATTGATACACCGCGGCTTACCATCTAGCGGAAGGTTTCGGAAAGGTGAAAAAACATATATTTAATACTTGCGCCGGGTATTTAATGTTCGGCTTCGCCCGAACTTAGACTCTCTTACTTGTTGTGTTTCGAAAGTTCCACTGTTAATTTTACATACAAGATTCTTATTAGGTTTTTCGCTTTCACTCTCTTAAAGAGAGGATAAAAAGAATACAAGAAATATGGAGCAGCAAAATGGTTTAACTACAATAGCAAATAATTGTCTGTAATTCGTACCTTTTTGATTTGCAAATACAATTTGTTCGAATTACCAGTTGTTTCTTTCTTTGCCGTCCGCAAAGTCACTGCTACTCGTTGTCTCTGTTGGTTTTCTGCTTTGCGTTGGTTGTACACACATACACTTGCTGTTTGATGACAGTCGTTCTTTTCAGGCAGATGTGTTTTCGTTGAAAATAACCCCTATTCGCTGCACTCGTTCTGATTATAACTTCAAACTGCGACAATGTTGGCGTTTGCTGCGTTGCTAACACGACGTTTTGGTTTTGCTTCTCTTCTCTGCTTTTCACCAAAAATTTGTTGACTGCGCACTTCTCCGCTTCACACAGAAGTTTTGTGCCCTGCGCACTTATTTTTCTTCACACAGAAGTTGTTACGGTGGTTCTCTCTGCTGCCGCAAACGGAGGCTGCGTGCTTTTAGTGCGCACAAATTTTCACACAGAAGTTTTTGTTGCCTGCGCACTTATTTCGCTTCACACAGAAGCTGTTGCCCTGCGCACTTATTTTTCTTCACACAGAAGTTGTTACGGTGGTGCGCTCTGCTGCCGCACACAGAGGCTGCTTGGCTTTACTGTTCACCAATTCTGTACGCAAATACTTCACACAGAAGTTTTGTTGCCTGCGCACTTATTTTGCCTCACACAGAAGCTGTTGCGTTGATTCGATCTGCTGCCGTACACTAAGGCTGCGCAGAACTGCTCTATTTCGCCGTTTGGTTGACTGCGCAATGCCGCTTCACACAGAAGCTCCGATGCCTGCGCACTGCTACTTCACCCAGAAGTTATGCTGTTGGTTTAGTTCGCTGCCCCACACAGAGGCTGCACTCTTTTACTGTATGTACTTTGATTATGTGTGCTAATGCTTCACCCAGAAGTTTAGATATATGCTGACTGAATACATACACAGAATATGCATGAGCACATGTAGCGGTGATGTATTCTGCTGATTCACCCTGAGCGTCGGCTATATCTGATTGGACCGTAGGATTTCAATTGACGTGCCAGTGTGCACGATTGCGGCTCCGACGTCTCTGCTGCTTAACTAACGCCGCACGCGTTTTGTAGCTGAAGATTTGACGCCCTCGTATACTGCTGCTTCACTTTTGCGCCGCACTTAGCTGGCGCTTTGTCCGGCGTTTAACGAAATTCGAATTTTTTCGATGATAACGGACCTAGCGGCGTCCTAGAATTCGTGGTACAGTTTGGCGACTGTTATATATTAACGCACTGGACAAAATTTCAACCGAACCGAAGAATGGACTGTGGTAATACTCTTACGTACATATGTTGCGCAAATAAAAGTTGCTGAACTGTTTTTGTTAAAAATGTCACACAATTAGCAAGAAAATTTTCCCGCACAGCACTTGTCACAAGACGTAGGAATTTTTAACGAATCCTACTCTGACACCAATTGTAGGGTTCACCGAGTGTAGGGTACTTAAAACACATATTGATTTTGGTTAATAAAGTTGATTTATTTAACAATTACTTTTGATTAATAGTAAGCGTGAGTATTACCACGTCCGTTAGCGTTGAAAGTCGCGCAAAAAGTGTGTTTGTGGTTTCGTCTTCATGTCTTTTGTCATTTCTGTTTCGTCCTTTTCTGTGTAGTCAGTGTTGCCCTCGCACTATGTTGAGGGTTGTGTTTATTGGTCGTAGGTAAATGATTACCCTCTGTTTATACGTTCCCACAAGTATGTATTTTTTTAATCGAGATTTTTTCTGTGCGAGAAGCAACGTTCTTGAAAATCCCCTGTCGGTTATGCTAACTACAACCTGCCTGTTCGTTTACGCTAACTAAAACCGCCCATATCCGAAGCGGGAGTTTTTCAATCGGTGTGTAGCAGGACAACGTCTTCCCGGGCTTACTAGTCCATACACACAAACATACATACACGCAAACATTTTCAATAAGTAATGGTATAGAGAAACAATGAACTCTAGAAAAAATCTAATATTTTATCCAACCAAAAACCTTTTTATATACATGGGGAAATATACGACACCAGTCCGATCAAGTGATTGTACTATCAGGCTCGAAGCATATAACTTACCAGCATGCTGGTACAATATTTATTTCTTTACCAAAGAGGTCGTGGAAAGATCGAAGTGATAAGAGCCGCATTTTCATAATTTCTCTACCATTTTGCTAAACATTGTTTTGTTTTTGATGTGTATACATCTTTGGTTTCGGTAGGGGTAAAATTTGCGAAGCTGTAACGCATATCCCAGCACAAAATTTCGAAGGGCTTAGCATGTGTATTTCAGCATAACATTTTTATTTTCATTAGAAGCACCCTGTGTCTGCGTGCCCAATGGTTGCATACATTTAGGCATATGCATAGTAAGAGGAAATGCGATTATTTAAACCCCGCACACGCATACGGCTTTGTACCCATGTATGTACATAAATATGTATGGACTCATTTGTTGCAACTAAAAAGTAAGGCGGAAATTTAAAAAAATACTGAAATCATTTTAACTGGGACCGTTGATAACTGATGAACATACATGAATATATGTATGTATAATATGCATATGTATGGATGATATAATAGCTCTGATCCAATACTTTTCGTGTAAAATCCTGGAAAAAGGTCAAACAGCAAAATCACTCTCTGAGGTGAGAGTAAAAAGTGAGTAACAGCAAAACTTACGGAACAAAAAAGGATATGGCAAAATCCTGCAACATGAACTGCATTTACATGAACCACAGATTATATTCCGAAAAGAAAAACTAAATTTAGGAATATATACAAATAGAAATGCTCAAACTATAAGCTCAAAAACAATAACTGATGCGGTGTTTCCAGGATATTTTAACGCCCTTAAGTCACAAGTATATACAAGTATATTTTATCAATCATACCGATCATTTCATGTATTAAAATAATTAAAAATGAAAATGAATAAAAAAATTAAATCAGCAAAATGAACAAAATTAAGTGAAGTTAGTGTTTAATTTCTAACCTAACCTACATTTGTATGTATGTAACTGATTCGCCTAATAATAGCTTTACATATAAAAAGATTATCCTAATTTTCTAGCTTAACTCCCTAATCTGTTATTAGAAAAAGTGATTAGCCATGCAAAAATATAATTAAAAATATCTCAGATTAAACCGATAACTTTTTGGAGTCCAACCTAGTTTTATCGATTATACTTGCGAAGAAGAGGAGGAATGTCAAATGCTAAAGTAAACCAAAATTGACGCTAGTAAGGAAAATAGGTTTGTAAATGTGTTTTTAATAAAATATTCAGTTAAAATATATTTAAATGGCATAATATGTGTTGCAGAAAAAAGTGACCACGGTGGCACAGAGAAGAAGTTTAACTTTTCCTCGAGTTGTGTGAATAACATGCACAACCAATTTGACAGCTAACGAGCTTTGATTGAGATTATATTTATATGTAAACGTACTTTTATGCTTTGCCGTTCGCATATGTTTACACATCAAATTTCATGAGTACCTAGTACTCACGCCTTTTTTTTTAATTCACAACTGCAATATCGTGAACTTAATCTTCCACAAACACGGCTTTGACTCATACAGTGCAAGAAATTTTTGCCAAAATACTTTTTGCTTAGAAAATTGAGCTAATTTCATCACTCACGACACCAGCAGCTGGTACAATCACACCACAAGAACATACACAGTCAATCTACTTGATGGGCCATTTAACAAATTAAACATATTAAGGGCCGTAAACTTATCTATTTTAAACTATAGTTAAATCGTTAATAGATAAGTTAGCAGCCCTAAACCTTTTAGAGTATGTATGTATAAAAACGTAAGGAACATAAAATACATATATCATCGTTTAAAGTACAAAAACGCGTATCAACAAAATGCAAAACCGCACATAAAGGTAATGCAAAACCGCGTATGTGAGATTGCATAAATTAATTTCTAGATATTAAAAACACTCATATTTCAAAATGGTTATTTATGTTATAAAGCAACCGCATTTCTGGCTAGTATATTTCAAGGCGAATGGATAAGGATTGAGCCAAGAGCTTCGGTGAGCAAATCTAATTTTTGGCAGCAAATGTCAGTTACGCGGTTTTGCAGAATGGGGATACGCGGTTTTGTACTTTAAACAACGATATGTATATACATAATTATATCAGTCTTTCTTAGTTTAAAAATTCATCTCTTACATAAATGCAAAAGAATAGGTCAAATTAAGCATATACAACTTTTTCATGCCAAGTATGAGTAAATTCTCCAAAGGGCTAAAAAAAAGAGCTAGGGGCAATTTTAAATTTATGTGGCCAAAAAAAGTATGTGGCCAAAAAAAATATATGGTAGCTAAATCTAGCCGCCAAAGGGCTAAAACGGCAACACTGATTGAGTAGGAGTTTGCTCGCTCGCTCGCTCGAACTCCGAGTTTTTGCCTACCCTGCTTTTTTTTTTGACTGTACATACATACGTGCACACATACTATGTATGCAATTGCGGTCTTGCGTTGGCTCATTTTAGGAACAAATAAAATATGTGTGGTGCCGATGTATGTATGTATGTGCAAATATTTACAATTCATTGGTATGTAAGCAATTATATATACCTGAACGTATTATTTTACTGTAGATTTTCAAAGAAAGGATATGAACCAATATAGAACGATACTTGTATTTAATTAAAGCTACATACATACATACATATGTATATATGTATATTCATATGTAGGTACTTGAATGAATTCTTCGTATTCATCTTAATTTTAGATGTTTTCTTATACATGGAAGATTTAGCTCCAAACGTAATCATTCAAAAATAATTTCGATCTAAATGCAATAAAAATGCACTTGCTGTGGCTCACCAGTATTATAGGAATATCTCTGTTACACCTACAGCTCAGCCAATGCAATGATCTTGAATTGCTGAGTGTCGGCGCAGTCGGCAGAACACATAAAAATATTGTTGGAAATAGCAGCTCGGGTGCAAATGGGAATGATCTCACCGCAATAAGTATTAACAATAGCATGCAAGGAACAATCTTTACTGGCGTCGGAACAACAAGCAAAGCTATAACATCTGATGATGACTCTGGGGAAACCATTATTGGAAGTGCTGTTAAGAATGTAGCAGAATTATCTGACCGGGGAATCAGAACTAGCGAGAGTCTCTTACCGCCAGCAACATTCCCTGTGCAAAGCACCAGCCAAGATGGAATTCCCACTGGTACAATTTATAGAGGACTTAAGCACACAAAGGCGTATGGCCATCAATATGGTCACCCATTATCTGGCTTGGCAAATTTAGGAATCATTATACCTAGCAATAAAGGAGCTAACATGGAATATTATACACGAACAGCTGGAATCGGAGGACGTAAAGTTTATTCCAAATTGGATAGTGACAGCAGCCCAATTGACAAAGCGAATGTCAGTGGAAGTAACGTGGGGCACAGCACATACATGTAAGTAGATTTTAGCTTATATCCTATTTTGCCCAGGAACAAAACTATAAAACTCTTATGTTAAATCAGTCGCTGAGTCCGAAACTTTGCTTTTAACTAACGTTGATCACCTTTATTTTGTGACAATATCCCTTCTGAGATCCCTTCTTATTTAACAAAAGTCTTTTTCGGCGGTATCTCGAAAACTCCAAAGTATAAAAGATATTTAGGTCTTCGAACTCAGCGACGGATTAACTGGAATGGAAAGTGTCGATCTCGGGTTTTTTCGGCTATAAACATGTATATTTAGCAAAATCTAATAAAATACATTAATATAATGATTGAAATAAAAAGAAAATTAACTATCGATAATATGAATGTATTTAAAAATGTGTTCTTCCTATGGGCACAAAACCGTTGGTCAGTTTTAATCGAGAACAAAAATCTATTAAAATTTCCTCCTGTATATAATTGTTCCCTCGAAATTCCCAAAACCATTCTCATATGCATACATACTTAACTTCAGCGCCATATAAACATTGTATGAATGTTCCAAAAAGACCTTCGATCAGCGTTGCCAGGTTGACGTCTTAAACGTAATTTGGGCGTTATTTGTATCCTGTTGACGTTTGGACGTTTATCGATGCAAAAATTACGTTTTTTACCTTCCCATAAATCTTTTTCTATGCACAATATATTCAGTGTAAAGCGTACTATTTGCATGTAGAGCAGTGGTCGGCGCTTCATACTACAATTGTGAAAGATCAACTCAAACGTATTCTTATAGCCCGAACACAATGAAAACGACGAGCTACAAACCACAGCTGTCAAATTATTTTAACACGTGCTCTTATGTAGATAATTATTTTGGCGACGATCAAGCGACGCGACGGCTGTGGTTGTGGCCAGATTAGATCTATTTCTATTTTTCTGGCGACAGATAAGGTTCTTCCTCTTCTTTTATGTCAAACTCATACAAATTCATGATGTCGCTGCCGCGTTAAAAGAAATCATGTCGACAACGACAAAGCGTTTAGATAATGAAGATGACAAATTGGAAGCTGTGGTCTGTAGCTCGTTGTTTTCAATGTGTTCAGAACTTTACGCTCTATCGTTTAGTCGTTGGCTAGAGAGCAACGAATCAACATCGTGTTTGGCTGTAGCGCTTTGCTTCTTGTATGCAAAAATGCCTTGCGAGAAATATTACATGCTGAAAATGCTTTTGGTGACATGCAATGCCTTTTGTGTTATAAGTCATTTAACAAAAAAGAATATGCTATTCAAAGACATTTTAATTCTTTTCATAAGGAAACATTTTGATGAAGAAGAAATACAACGACTTTTTAATGAAAAAAGTAAATTTTTTCCAAAGAATTAAAGGGTGGTTGTTAAAGGGAATATGTATGCGATTAAGACATTTTTAATAATTTCATAATGATATGGAAAATTTTGATGAACACGAATTTCGATTTTATTTAAATTTTCAATATTTGACGTGGGTGAATCCAAATGAATTTTGAAATTTTTGATTTGAGTTTTACTTCAATATTTTCATAACTCAAAAAACTAAAAACTCGAGAAAACCAGTTTTAAAGTTTTGAATTTACATATACTCCAAAGGGAAAAATTAATACATATTTAGCTTTATCATTTGTTTCCGTGAGTTTACTATGCGCGGATGAACATTTTTCGGGTGAACTATGCAATTTTTACACATCATAAGAAAGAGCTAATGTTCATTCTTGCATACTTAACACGATTTTTGCTTTTTTGGGATTATGATACTTCTATAGTAAATGAGCGATGCACATATATGTACATATGTATGTGTTAAATATATGTGTTTATATGTTTTTATTGAAGACCGATAAGTTACAAATTTTTTCACTTCTTGTAATTTCCTACCGGGTTGCTCATGCGGAGCAGTTCTCTTGTTCTCACCAACACAGTCACAGTTTAACTTTTGCCGACCACTGATCAGTGTTGCCACACAATATTTTTATTTTTTACCAAAATCACCGAAAAAAGTTACCAAATTCAACAAAAAATTACCAAACTTATTTTATGTGCACTGTACAAACATACACATCAAGCCCTAACCGCCAAAATAACAGAAATATTCCTAGAGCATCTAGATGCCTTTCTGCAAACAAAAAAAAAATTTGAAAAAAATGTCGCTTTCGTTATTTTGGCAGTTAGGGCTCTATATGTATGTTTGTTCTGCACATAAAATAAGTTTGGTAATTTTTTGTAATATGTTAAAACTTATCAAAATATGGTGCGCCTATAATTTTTTCGACCACTGTATGTAGACAAGTGACAAGAAAATATATCAAAAATTCAACACTTGAATGAAAGCTTTCGACTCACTCATAGACAGAGTGAAGTCTCCCGCTGAATGCCGTAACTTTTTGAACGAGAACATGCATATTTACGTAGAATTCAACTCATATATATGGTTGGCGGGTACACCGGTAAATTGATGGTAATTGCAAAGCTGACGAACTGACAGGGAAAGGTAGGACCACCCAAAACCTTCCAGGAAAGGGCACTGTGGATATACTTAGCAATAACACTTTCACACAGTTTGTTAAAGATCAAACCTTTCTAGTAGCCAAGGAACGCTGGAACAACAATTACCTTGCGAAACTTTGAGGATTACCTGATATTTCTATAAAAGAAAACGCTTACGGACACTTACTAATGTGGAATCAGAACCAATTGACGTGTAAGACCGAATCGAAAAAGTTACCAAGTTGAAAAATAAATTACCAAATTACCAAACTTGATAAATAAAGAAAAAAA